GAACGTGGAATAATGTTCAGTTTTCTTGAAAGATAATAAAGAATTTGTCAATGTAATTATATGGAAGTTAAGATAAGAACGCGAAATAATGTTCAGTTTATCTAACTTTCATGAATAAAAAATAAAAGAAAAATTTTAGCATTTTAAACTCGTTTGCCAATTTAAAAGATCATTTTAGTAATTTACTAGTTAAAAACTAAAGACAACTTATAAAAAAAACAAATTCATTTAATAAATTAATAAAAGTCTATATATATTGAAAAATGATGGTCAATAATCATTTGTGGAAAGTTCATAAAAAAATGAGTCAACCCATTTAACTTACTACTTATATAAATTGTTTAGAAAATCCAAAATTCTTTTGTTTAAAAAATTTGAAATTATGTTAGTTACACCATTTATTTGATCCTATCCCATATTTGGGGGAATTTAGATTTTATTCTATAATATTAAATCTATCTATGTTAATTTTATCGTAAATCAACATATTAGAAATGTACAACACGTCTTACCAATTAGATCATTCATATTTGGAAGAACTGGATTTTTTTTTTTTCAATTTGGGATAAACAAAAGTCTATTTATTTAACAAAAATGCGATTATAATATTGGAATCATTTTCAAATTGAAAATCATTTTTTTTAATCATTTTCAACATATTAGAAGTGTGTTTAATTGTATGAAAAGTTCTAAGAATCATTATAATATTGGAATCATTTTCAAATTGAAAATCATTTTTTTTAATCATTTNAACAAAAAAAAAAATGGGCTTATCATTATGATCTAAACTTTTAATCAATGCAATACTTATTTTTGATACATCAAAATCGCAACAAAATATATTTGCACGATTTGGATTATGAGAATCAAAAATATGTTGGGATCTATATTTCAAAAAAATGGTTTCATTGTGTTTTCACATTTTGTGTTAATATAGTGTGTTTAATTGTATGAAAAGTTCTATGTTGTGGATATCATTTAGGCATATATTATTGTTAATTCAAAAACTTCACAGAAAAAGTATTAATTATAAAGGTTGATGTGCACATCATTAGAATTTATAGTTGTTATTAAATTCATTGTGCTTATCTTGTTATATTTTCAAGTTATAATTAATCCGATTTGTTATAAAGATCTTTGAACAATATTTTTTATAAAAATTTAAAATTTGTAATTTAATTATAGAAAATTAGTTGATAAATTTGAACGACAAGTAACCGACAACAAATTTAGAAAATTCCGAGATTAGTAATATATATATATATATATATATATATATATAATATATAAGGTGATTTATTGTGTAGTCCAAATTTGAGTTCTAAATTTAAAATGCAAATAAGTAATTATTCATAACTTACAGGTCAATATTAACTTGGATATAAATAGAATAGTCAATTATTTATAGTTTAATCCTATCCTCTCATGCTTCGCCAGCACCCAATAAGGACCACAAAGAGAAAGCAAAATTAAACAACTCAACTGCTTAAATTTTTTGATTTGGATAGTTTATAAAAAAAAATTATTTTAGTTAATAAAACAATATAAACTTTAGTATATACTTATTATTCATAGACATTTTTAAATATATGATAAAATCTTACCCAAATAATTATTTTATGAAACCACAATGTATTCAATTCGAATTTCTATATAAAAATTTTAAAATGACACTTTTTTTAAAATGAATATAATATAAGTTATTATAAGTTATGTGCGCCGTAAGTGTTATGTACTAATTTTAAATAAAAATGTTTTATGTAAATTTACACAATTTAAAGTTCATATAATATTTTAAATAAATTAATATAACTAAATTGTATTACGTATTGGTTTCATGTTTTTTATTTATTAATATTATTTAATGAGCATTTTAATTTACAAATATCAATGAATGTTTTTTATCCGTGCATCGCACGGGATTCGTACTAATAAAAAAAAAAAAAAAAGGAAGAAGATTGGACGCACAATTTGCGTTCGGACGCAAATATACGTCCAACCGAGGAGAGAGAGAGAGAGCAAATCATATTTTATGATCGATTGTGGGGTCAATTGGAGCAGCCCGTACTACAAATTTTGTGTTTTCCAATACGGGTAGAGAAGGTGTCACATTTTCGTCTTTCTTTTGATATTCATTTCAGATTAGATTATGTACATTTAACTCACTTTCTATAATAATAATAATAATAATAATAATAATAATAATAATAATAATAATAATAAAAAGGTATGCTATCATTCTATCAAAAAAAATGTGAGTTTGAGTCTTAATTGCACGAAATTATAGCTCTGTTTGGAATGTCAACATCAAATTTCCAAATGAGTTACATAATCCGAAATTTACGAAATTTATAGACGGTTAACACAATTTACTGGTCTCTCTGTTTTTTTTAGATGTCGTTTTAATTTAAAACTTCTAAATTACAATTTTCATGGAATGTGTAATAATCTTATACTAGTACAGAGCCCGTGCAATGCACGTGGTGCACAATTTTAAGGCTATTTATCTAGGCTTATAGTTATATACATGAATAAAGAAAAATGTACGGATATATATAGTACGTGCGAAGCACGAGATATATTTATTTGGAGAATATTATATTATAAGATGCAATATTCAATAAAAGTTTATAATACGCAAGAAATTGTACAATGTTCAATAAAAGTTTATAGTATTCAAATGGAGTTTTAAAGTCTCTTGTACATTAAG